TACAAATTACAGCTAGATAGGAGAAGTAAGTTCTAGTGCTCTGTATAGCACTGTAGGGTGACTGCAGTTAATAGCAACTTCTTGTGTAATTTCATATAGCTAGAAGAAAGGATTTAAATGTCAAATCAATGACAAATGTCTGTGGTGATGGATATGCTAATTACCCTGGTTGATCATTACACATTGTATACACATATCCAAATTCCACATTGTACCCCATAAATATGTATAATTATTATGCACCAATTAAAAATAATTTTTAAAAAAGAATAGTTGAAGTAGGCTAAGTCCTAAGGGAAAAAATAGATGAGTGTGGTATCTATTGTAAATGTGCCCTCACTGGCCTCCCAGGCCCGAGGAGCTGCTGTTGACCAGAGGATGAGGGGGCTGGCTGGACTCAGCACACTTCTGAATCCCGACGTGACCACCTCCTAGGCAGGTGAACGTGAGCCAGTGTGAAGTGCACTCAGTGGTTCCTGTTTGATCAGCTGTCAAAGGGGACTTGAGTCACCTCCTAGCAGGGTTGTTTGAGACTGAAATGAGACCTTATAATGGGCTGGAATGTAAAGGGCACTCAGTAAATGTAGACAGCACCTCATTTCTTATATGATTGTTGGTGGTGTTGCCTGTGTGGCCACGCTTCATGCGAGGAATGGATGGGCTGGGGACTGCTACGGGTTTTAATTGGTTTGTCTTTCTGGGGGGTTTTAGCATAGCTTCTGAATAGAATTTTAGACACACTGTTTTACATTAGATTTGAGGATGGACATAAATTATTAAAAAAAAAAATGACAGTGTTGCAGTCATGACAGATCCCACACAGACTTTTAACATTGTACTCACCAGATGCCTGAAAAAGAAATGACAGAAGCCTGTTAGATCGCTCTGTTATCTGAGGGATAAAACCTAGTAGGTGACTTTTAAATGAATCAGACCTAGACTTGAGTTTTAGAAAATTCACTTTAAATAGCTACTGTTCTTAAACTGCACATTTCTTTTTTTTTCTTTTTTTTTTTTTTTTGTCTTTTTGTCTTTTTCCGTGTCTGGCAACGGATCGCAACCCTCGGTGTTGCTCCCGTGCCTCGCTCAGCCAGTGAGCGGGAACCGGTCTGTATGTGGGATCCGAACCCTCAGGCGGGAGCGCCGCCGCGCTTCCCAAGCGGCGCACTATCCAGTGCACCACCGGGCCGGCCCCGACATTTCTAAGGTTCATGTGATTAAATAGTGGACTTTATGCACTACATTTCCATAAAAAGTTACATTCAACATTTGCTTATGCTTCAGCTTGCTCCAGAGAGGATTTAGTGCTGCTCACAAAGTTATAACACAAGTTAATAAAATAACTGAAAATGCATGAGAATGAAGTGAGGGACAGGAGAGTAAGTCACATTGAACCAGCTGTGAAGTTAGTGCACAGTGTATCTAACAACCCTTCACACGTGCCAGGATGAACTTGAAACTTGGTTTCTAAGCTTTCATGCAGTTAATTCAGTGACATAAATAAAAGCAGTAGAAAAGTTGCCACATCTGTAATATTAAAAATTAATAATAAAATATAAAAAGTAGTTGCTTAAGAAATGCAAGAGTATTCCTGATACTAAAATTAAAAGAAGTATTTCCCACAAGTGGTCCTACAAAGAATGTTGTACAGTGAGCATAATGAACAACATTTTCACACTCAGACAGTGGCAAGTCCCACCAGCCCATAGGGCAGGGCTTAGTGCAGACGACTGGCCACCCGCAGCTCTGTGAGTGACAGCGGGTCCCCCCCAACCCCAACAGCATGTGCAGCTGGAACCCACATGCTAAACAAACTGCACAACATTCATCTCAAGAGATAAGAAATATGCTTTTGATTTTACTTCAAAATGGAAAATGTATCCTGTCAGTGTAATGAAATAGTTATTTGATTTATTATATTAGCTCAGAAATTATGCAAAAAATGTTATTCTTACATTTCTTATGGTCATAAAAGGGTTTTTCAAAAAGTTCATAGAGAATGCATATTATGAAAAAACTATGCATGGACTTCAAATAGTTTTTGCACCAAAATAAATTCATACTAACTTGTTATAGCATTTCTGAATAGGACCTAGTTTGAGGCCCTACAAAGGATAAGACATCAGTTTGAAAAGAGCCCTATCAGAGCAAAATGAATTCTGCTAAAATTGAAGTAAGAACGAACATCCAATTTATGGTGAAGCTTGGTTAGAAGAATGATGATGTCATTGATGCTTTATGAAAAGTTTATGAGGACAAATGCCTCAGGAAATCAGCAGTTTATAAACGGACAACTCATTTTAAGAAGGAACTAGATGATGTTGAAGATGAAGACTGCAGCGGCAGACCATCCACATCAGTTTGCAAGGAAAAAGTTAGTCTTGTCTGTGCTCTAATTGAAGGGACCGACAATTAACAGCAGAAACAATAGCCAACACCATAGGCGTCTCAATTGGTTCAGCTGACACAATTCTGACTGAAAAATTAGTTGAGCAAACTTCCTACTTAGTGGGAGCCAAAACTGTTGCACCCAGATCCGCTGCAGACAAGAGCAGAGCTTTCAATGGAGATGTCAAACAAGTGGGATCAAGATCCTGATGCATTTCTTTGAAGAACTGTCACAGGAGATGAAACGTGGCTTTGCCAGTACAATCCTGAAGACAAAGCACAATCAAAGCCATGGCTACCAAGAGGTGCAAGTGGTCCTGCCAAAGCAGAAGTGGACCAGTGAAGAGCAAAGGTTGTGGCAACAGTTTTTTGGGATGCTCAAGGCATTTTGCTTGTTGACTTTCTGATTGGCCAAAGAATGATAACATCTGCTTATTATGAGAGTGTTTTGAGAAAGTTAGTCAAAGCTTTAGCAGAAAAACGCCCTGGCATTTCACCAGAGAGTTCTTCTCTGCCTCAACAGTGATCCTGCTCACTCCTCTTGTCCAAAAGGGCAATTTTGTGAGAGTTTCAATGGAAAATCATTAAGCATCCATCTTACAGTCCTGATTTGGCTCCTTCTGACTTGTTTTTGTTTCCTAATCTTAAAAAATCTTTAAAGGGAATGCATTTTTCTTCAGTTAATAATGTACAAAAAAAGACTGTATTGACATGGTTAAGTTCCCCAGACCCTCAGTTCTTCAGGGATGGACTAAATGGCTGGTATCATCACTTCCAAAAGGGACTTGAACTTGATGAAGTTTAAGTTGAGAAATAAAGTTTATGTTTTTATTTTTATTTTTTAATTCTATTTTTCCATGAACTTTTTGATATTTCCATTTAAAAACAGGTATGAAGAACTGTCATCCATGTGAGAATTCCCAGTTATCTTTGAGCATATTCAATACAAAGGTAGTTGTAGACAGCAGTACCAGAAGGAAAATGTCATGAATATAAATGGAGTTGTTAGGTATTTGAGTTTTTTTAATTTGGGGTTTTATTTTTTATTTAAAAATCAAAGGTATGCTTTAAAAATTTTTAAGACTTACTTTTTAAAAGTAGGGTTAAATCTGCTATCATTATTATTTTGATTTTACATAACACAACTCTACTCCCTTTGAATAAAAGTAACAAACGTTCATGTATTTCAGTTGCTGAACATATACAGATCACAAGGTGATACTCACATTTGGTAACATTAAAAAATACAAGAAATGTCACTGAGTAATTTTCTTTTTGTACTTTCAATTTCTATATAATCTCAGAAGTCAAAAACACATTACGTTTCACTGTGAATCACCCTTCCTTTATAGAGACATATACACACACATGCACCCCACACTGAAATTATTTTTATTTTGTATTAGTTATCTTAGTTGCTAATGGAGGCATACCAAAATTATCCTTCTTAGTAATTTCCCAGTTGTTTTAGAAAATGTATGAGAATTATGGGGGAGGAAAAGACTTTTTCTCTACCCTCTTAGGTTAACTGACTGAAACCTGTAAATTAAACTGACAAAAGACAGATCAACAGGACAAAAGACATACAAATTTTATTAATATTTTTAATTTTATGTGCACAGGAGCTTCACAGAAAAGAAGTGAAGAACGCAAACAAGCAGTTAGACGTGGGGGCTTATGTACCATTTTCACAAAGGGTGATAGATTGTGGGAAAGTGTCTAGGGTACATATGCGGAGAGCTAATGGAAGACAACGGCTATTTTAGTAAGGTTTGTTTATACAGACTCGTCTTGGTGCTGGCTCTCTACCTCTAGTGATAAGGGTCACTGTCCTCATCCTGGGACAGGAGGAGGAAATTTATACCCTTTTAGGCAGAAAAGGGGAGGGCAGGGAGCTCTTTTTGCATCTGCTGTTTCTCAATTGCCTTCAGCTCAAAATAGTCAATATACCAATGTGGCACGTTTGGGGGTAGCATATTTTCATCCCCTTCAGAATTCTAGCCTAGCTCTGGACAAATGTTTAATGATAGATAAAGAAGTTGACTGAATGAATATTTAATGATTTTGTAAAATCCTTTCTCTATAGTTCGCTTGCATATTTTTAGTTGTGATAGTGGAACTGTGGCTGTATTTTTTTTTTAAGTCTTTATCTTTTAGAAATAATGTTAAAATAAAATGATGTGGAGTCACGATCCAGCAATCCCACTACTGGGTGTATACCCAAAGGAAATTAATTCAGTGCATCAAAGAGATACCTACACCCCCATGTTTATTGTGGCACAATTTACAATAGCCAAGAAATGGAATCAACATAAGTGTCCAACAACAGATGAATCAATAAAAAAAACTTCCTGTTTGTGGAAGAGATTCCACAGTCGCAGACTCTGGGAATTGGTGACATCTGGAACCTGCAGGGGAGCTGCGCTGTGCTGGTTGGTTGCAGGAGCCCCTGCAATGCATGTGACTTAGGTGGTCCTCACCTGCTGACCCAGCACCTCTGAGGGGCGGAGGCACCACGAAGAAGCGAGAGAGGTCAGCAGGGGACAGACCCTGCAAGGGCTGAGGGCCGTGGCCGGCGACTTGGGTTTTCTTTCAGCGCACTGTGCGGCCATCGGCTCCGTTCGCGAGGTTGTAGGGGACATAAAAGTCGAGGTGGCCGTGGAGGTGAGCACTGGAAGCTGAAGGAACAGCACACAATAGAATACTTAATCCAGCCATAAAAAAGAATGAAATCCTGTCATTTGCAGCCACTTGGATGCACTTGAAGGTCATTATGCTAAGTGAATTAAGCCAGGGACAGAAAAACAAATACCACATGATCTCATGCATATGTAGAAGCTAAAAAAAAGCTCGTATTATAGAGACAGTAGACCAGCGGTTACCAGACACTAGGGAGAGGAAGAGGGAAGGGAAAACACGGAGAGGCTGGCCAACAAGTACAAAGTTACAGTTAGACAGGAGGAATGGGTTGCATAGTAGATGACTGTGATTAACAGTTAAGTTTTGTATATTGCATAAGAGCTGGAGGAGAGGCTTTTCAATGTTTTCACTACAGAGAATTGATAAATGCATGAGGTGATAGTTACATTAACCACCCTGACCCATCATTGTAAGACATATGTGTATCGAAACATCAGACTGTGCCCTTAAGCATGTACAATTACAATGTGTCGATTTAGATAGATAGATAAATAAATAAATAAATAAATAAATAAATATGGCAGCACAGATTTGCTTCAAAACAATAAAGGCAGAGTAAAAGGGGATGAGACACAGATGAAAGAAAATTAGCTGTGTATTGACAAATGTGGAAGCTGAGTTATGGGTACCTGGAGGTTCATTCTCTCTACTTTTATAAGTTTAAAATTTTACCTAATAAAATATAAAAATAACAGCAGCAGCAGCCTTGGAATTTTCCATGAAATTTTTAGATTCCATTATAAAGTAAACGCGTGGAATCATGGGGACCTGGCTGTACTACAGTCCAGCATCTTTGTTTACCAATGAGGAAGCTGAAGCAAACAGTGTTGTTGCTTCTGTGTTTCTTTAGTTATTCAAAGCATCTATTTAAAAATCACAGTGCCCACAATTCCCATTTTACTTTTGCTGTCAACGTATGCCCCAGAAATTATGTACCTTGAGCCTTGTTTCAAGCACTCCTCTGTAATTCCCATTCAAAGGCTGCATCTCAGACCTAGCGTTTTCTCCTCAGTGGAGCAGTTCCAGTCCTCGCCAATGAAGCTTCCCCTAACGCGGGAGATTAAGGCTTATCCCATGAACCGAACTCACACTTAGAATCTTTGCAGTGCATATTTGAGCTGTGGAAGAACAACATAAATTACTGAGCCTTACTGACCTGTGGGAATCCTCATGAGTCCCTGCTGTGTTGCTTTAACAAGATACCCTTGTACCAGATTCTTTGTACTTTGTTTATACATTTAAAAGTGGATTTACTAAAGAATGTTACATTAATAGTAGTTTCAAAGAAATCCAACAGAAAACTAGAGAACAGAACATTTAATACATATAGCAAAGGGTGGTAGTGTTATTGTGGTTAAAAACACAGATTGTGGAATAAGACAGATGCCCAGCCATTACCAGCTGTGCCCTTGAGTGAGTTGCTTAACTTCTCCGAGCACAGATGATAACAGCCCTGCATGCAGATCAGAGATGGACATGGGTGCATGCTGGGGTGGAAGGAAGGGGCACATGACTGACTGGGAAGGGTGTGCATGTTACAGCAGAGTGTTTTGTGGAAATTTTCATAAGCTTCTTTTGCATTTAGCAACCAATGTAGTCACTTGCTTCTGTAGCACTGCTAATTCAATTTGGGTAATTTTGCAAATATGAATTCAGAAGCCCACCTTTTACTCTGAGATAAGGAAGTTTCTTCTTTCAGAGGGTCCTGTTTGCCTTTATGGGTGAGATTGAGCACAAAGACCTCATGGCTCTGGGACTGAACCAAAAATCACAACACACACTTAACTCAGTTTTTTTAAATGAAAGAAAAAAAACACCACGACAAATTATTACCCCCAAAGAGTGTAATTTTGAAGGTTTCTTTTTTATGTAGCTAATGCACTGGGCCAAATTTAATCCATCTACTCAACCATGTTCATTCCTGATCATGGTTCACATAGAAAATTTAAAAGAGAGCAGCTAAGACAGAACTTGCAATTATAACGCGCTTATTTTCTTCATTGCTGAGGTGGCAGTTCAGCTCGTTAAGTTACTGAGTACTAAGAATTTTAAAATTGTGCTGTTAATTGTATTTATAGTTAATGAACAGAATTAACTTTTGACATAATTTTCATTTTCGGGGACTTTCTGGAATATAAGAATGTTTTGCACTTTGACTTAGTGAGGTGATGGTAACAGAGATACAGACGGTTTTTAACCACACTGACCACAAGATCTGTGCCTTTACTGTGTGTAAAGGAGACTTCCACAAGGAAAGCAATACGTGTGCTACCTGCAAAAGGATGTTCTTGCAGTTTGCTTTTCCTTTTAACTCTTTGAACGATTATAACACAACACTTTCTTATTTGTAACTCCTTCAAACTTTAGGAGTTCTTCGATCACGTGAAGAAGCTGTGGGATGATGAGGGAGTGAAGGCGTGCTTTGAGAGGTCCAACGAGTACCAGCTGATCGACTGTGCACAGTAGTAAGTTGCCTCCTTACAAGTCCCAGGCTGCTTTGAAGAATGTGATTGCATTCCCGATTACGCCACCTTCCCTGTGCACTGAAGTTTCTCAAATAAAAGGAACAAATAGTTGATGTTTTGCCACAGAAATCAGCTTTTTTAATGAGACGTTTAGTATAAAATAGAAAATCCAGTAGCAATCAGTGTTTCAGGGAAGAACCAGAAACAGTTTCGGTCATTTTGTACTGATTATTGTTTTCAGTTCTATTTATTCTTTGCTTTGCCTAGACTTATAGGCATATTTGTAAATTTTAATGTGCTTAAGTATTCATTATTGTAGTTTAATTTTGGAGCAGGGGCCCCCAAGTCAAATTTTAAAATAATATCATTACAGGGGCCGGCCCGGTGGCGCACTGCTACAGTGTGCCGCTTGGGAAGCGCGGCGGGGCTCCCGCCGCGGG